CACTTTGATTTCAAAAAATTCACCATAAAACCTGTCGATACTGTCACAGACAATAATCACAAAAAATTTCCAAACCTGCGATTCTAACTGCGAAAATCACCCAAACTTCTCCTTTGATAGAGTCCACTGCCCAAACCCACACCGAACTACTTCACTTGAATTAAATCGCAAGTTCAAGAAAAACACCAAAATTATAACTAGAAACCGTAAACTGTAACGATTTCACGGAAAGGGAGTTCTTCGAGTGAAAACACGGGAGATTCTCCATTGGAATTCCCGTCGGTATGATTGCCTCACTAGCAACAATCGTCATCGTCACAAACAAAGTCAAGCCAAAATCAATCCACACTCGGAGATTCCAGGTCGACGCTCACGGGCACTACTCCCAACACGCTAGGCTCAACTCAAAGAACTGACGTTCTTCGAGTAATCTTTGTAGCTATACCCTACGAGACCTGAAACCCCAGGCTTGACGCTATTTTTAGTAAATACCAAAAGTACATGACAAGAACTTGGAACTCTTTATTACTAACTAACACTCCGAGATGTCACCTTCCGAGCTCCCAACAGGCGCGACGCCATCCGATCCGGAAGTTACCACGCCCGTTGAGCTCCTATCTACTCCTATCCTACTCAAAACGGCTCGCAATTGCAATGTCAAGTCTACTTCGTCTCCTCTAAACCGAAGATGAACAAATTGAGCTTCATATCTAACTGCCATGCCCTCCTACTCCATTAGCTGTCAATTCCTTCATGCGACGCTCTGGCTCCACCATGCGCTTGAATTTTCTCTCAAATCGCTTCAAGTTCGAAGTCCAAAGTCTCTTCTCCGAAGTCCGAAGGTTCACACAAACTCAAACTCAAGGCTCCGAATTAATAAGTTCTGCAAATGGACTCCGTTGAAGCTGAAACTTTGCGAGCATGTGCGTCCAATTGAGACCAACAACCCCACTAAATTTCAGTTCAAGTTGACACTCCAATGCGAAGATATGGCTTTCGCAAGATCCATACACCAAAGCTGGAGACGATAAGGCCGAAGGGCTTACGGCTGAAGTCTGAAGATCTTTCGGCCGAAAACCCTTATGCCCCTTCGCCTATCCATACTAGCCACTTCCAACACTCATAACTCAATAATTTCTTATCCGTTTCAAGAGTTCTTCAGCTCGTTAGAACCACCGTGCCTAGTTCTATTTATCGAGACCCTAATTAAGTTAAATTGTTACTAATTGAAAAAGTTATGAGGTATTTACTCCATCAAATCATAACTGGTCTAATTCAACTTTATTACTTACAAGTAAAAACATTAACTTGAAAGAGAGGAAGCTAAATGGATTCCACTATAACTAACTGTTCCTTTATCATAAAATCCACTATTAACTCTACTTCGTAGTAATCTTATTCTAAAAGTGTGAAATTTCTAGTCTTCTAACTCTTAAACTTCTCGTTTCGGAAAAAAAAAAGAAAAACTAAGCACCACAAGCTAGCAATGACTCTCCAGTCTAAAGTAAACACAGCACAAAACAAGACAAGACACATTGGACATCGCATCGCTTCGCGATTTTGATTCCATCTCCATCGTCCGCCATCAACTATGACCTCCAGCGCCTAGGATGCACTCTTCCACCAAATTGCAAACAAAAAATGTTTGAAAACTTTACTTTTTTTTCTCTTTTTTTTGTCCTTCACATTGGGATTGCACTCCACCTTAACAAACATACAATACACACTGAAAACTCAATACATTTTTTACCACATCATTTATATTTACGATGCTTTCAAAACATCAAGTTTATAGACAGTGAGATCGGGTGCAAACTCCCGATCCCTTTAGTACCTCCTTTCTAAAGGCTACAGGTATTCGCTATCAATTCTTTTTTAGACTATCAAGAAATTTCTCTAGTACAAGAATTTATTATGACAGACAGTCCTGAACATACTGAATATCTCTCAAATGATCAGCAATATCCTTCGGAAGGTCTAGTAACTCATCCTAACATATCCTGTACTCTGTACTAGATTCCTCCAGAAGTTTTTACTACTGCTAGTTCCTCGTCCCAATCTAATTCAGAATTTTTCTCTTCTACTGCAGTAGTGTTCACCTGATTCTCTACTATTTGAGGTTGTACTGCCAACTCCTACTCTTGATCATGTTCCTCGCTTGTGAAGACCTCCACCGTCTAAATTTCTGGTACTTCATTGTCTCCCACTTTCTCTCCAAGCGGCATTTTCTTTCAACTGAAAACTTCACTGGGTACTAGAGTTGTTTGCAAGGTATCTGTAAACTAAATCAGTAAAGTGGAAACTATAAAACTATCACAAAGTTCTACATGAGCACAAGAAAACTTTTTACTATAAATTATCATTGATGTATATTTACCACAGTAAAACTAAAAGTTCCCGTAAGACCCATATAAAGTCCACCCTAGAAAAGGCTTCACTTTTGTAAACTCCAACTGTACTTTCCGTTTGCATAGAATACAACTCTTGGTAACTAAACACTCTACTACAATTTATCACTATATATAGTGATACATTATAGTGATAAATCTAATCTGCAAAAATCGTAGTAAGCTCATCTCACTTCTCGGGGGGCCATTTAGGCACAAGCAAAATATATCAGACACTACTCCTGCACAAAAGTAGTGCAAATACGAGAAAAATTGTCTATTGTACTAAAGAATGAGTCACCTAAACACCAGGCTACATATGGGATCATTGTTTTCCATGCTTTAATACCTCAGTTAGATCCAATAGCTAAACAACCTTAAAGTATCATAGGTAGGATGTCTGCAAGGTTTTGGTTCTATCCTTCATCCCTGACGTACTTACAAATGTAAGTAAATCAAGTCACAAGTGAATTCTTAAGACAACTTTTAGGCTTAAGAATCAAAAAAAAATTTGACAATTGCCTTCAATGCATAACAGATGAGAACCGAATCCTACAGGATTGATTATTAAATCTCATCTTTCTAAACCACAACTCCAACTAAGAAAATCACGCAAAAAATACCAAAAACTATAACCAGAAAAGCACAGAAACTAAAACTCCAAACTGCAACAATTTCAGAAAACGTGAGTTCTTCGAGTGAAAAGTACATGATTTCCCCACTTGAAACCTGTCGGTTTGATTACCCTACTGGTAAGAAAACTGTCATCGTCACAAACAAAGTCAAGCCCAACCCATTCCACACTCGGAGATTCCAGGTTGACGCTCACGGGCATTACTCCCTACGCGCTAGGCTCGACTCAAAGAACTGACGTTATTCGAGTCGTCTTCGTACCTATACCCTACGAACTGAAACCCTAGGCCGACTGTTATTTTTAGTAACAGACGGAATCACATGACACTTTGGACAGCCAATTGTGGCAACAAGGGAGAATAACGTTGCATCAACTGCGTAACATGTCGTGTTGAAATTTGACATGCAGTTTCATCCTTCTCCACATATAAATATTTGCGTACTGGAATATCTGACTGCAATAGTGCAGGCAAACTTAAGTTGATCGCACCAAAATGATCCAACAAACACACTCTGGTGAATACTCCTAGGCAATTGATGTAGTGAGTAATGGCGATAGCACATTAGTATGACAAAAAGCTTGACTTCCTTAAGATGTCTCTATATTATTGTTATTATATGTCTCAGTGTATAGCGATACGTATTCGCACGACAGTTGCTCTAGTACTCTATCGTGAGTCTATCAACATCAAAGGCTTGTCACATGAATTTTTGCATCATAATCAATATACAACACATTTGTTGGCAATGCCACATCAAATGACATTTTCATTTCTATCAAAACTTTACATTGTGCAAAACAATGTAACCTACAATAATAGAAGAAAAATGAGTCTTATGACATCAATGTACATTATAACAACCTCTATGGGATAAAAATGAAGTGGCAAATTTCAATGAGTATCACATGAAATTGAGGGCTTACAGCTTAGGCTATGGAAGATATGTTGAATTTTTTGTACAAACAAAGAATGTACTTGAAGGTAGAGAGTCTGATGTTTTCTCTTCACAAACTCGACAAGATGTCTGCTACAGTCAACTGATCTTCTAGCCAAAAACTTAATGCAGGCGGTTGGTCATGCGACGATCGCCTTAGGCTGCTATAAATCACACTTCCTATATGATCACCTAACTTTACATTGTTACAACCTTACATCTTACTGCTCATAATTATTGGACAATATAGTATGATTTTTTTTCCAAATTAAAATACTATTTCCTAATATTTTGTATACTTTCATTGCTATTTTTTCTTCCAAATCATGGATATACATGAAGAGTCATATCAAAAATGATTATTGAAGATTAGCCTAATTACTTCAAAAAATAAAAGAAGATAGCATATATACATCAACACTATGTGAGTTAGAGGACCTGAAGCTATATAGACTTAAATTATTATAAATTTTTTTCAAAAAATATATCAATAAAATAGAATATCATTTTGCAGGTGAAGCGTTAGGTAGAGAAGTCAAGGAGTGTAAGTGTCCATCTGCCTATGGCCTCAGAGTGAGGAGTTTCGGCTTATCACTTCCTTGCGAAAAATGTGCAAATATCATCCCTGCTTTCTTTTCGACTCATGATAGGTGGTTGAGAAACATGATACCGCGTGCGACTTCCTCCGTAAGATCCAAGCACTGACTGGACGGCTGCAATCGAGTTCCAATCATGAGTTTCGCCCATCGAACGAGGAATTATTTTTGCCGCAGGCTTACTTCGGAGAACGCGACGAGCAAATAACGGCCTCATGGCTTTCCCCCCCACCTTCTGCTAATTTTACTCGAGATTTTAATCTACACAATTTCAGCTTGTACTCTTGCTTATGAAACTCATTTATTTTGGGATTTTGAGGTCTTACGCCTTCTCGCTCGCGAGAAATGAGGATCGGGAATAAAGCGCGTCACTCGATTGCGGCGGTAGGAGAACTTGGAGCTCGCAGAGCCCGTCCAGCTGGCACTTGGTGACTCTGTCTGTGGTCTGCTGTCTCTTGCTCGATAGACGAGGGAGAGAGAGAGATCGCAGAGTCAGCGCAGAACGAGCAGATGGCTTGCAATCCGCAGAGACAAGTTAAGAGTGAGGTCTGCGAGCAGTAAGCGAGCAACGAGACAGAGAGAGTGAGAGAGAGAGCAATGGCGACGACGATGATGCTTCGTGTCGCTCCCAATGTCGGGGCCTTGAGCTCCAGCAGCAGCTCGCAGAGCTTGATGGGTTCGCCCCTGACTGCGCGCTCGGCTGCTCCTTCGCTCAGAAGGGCTCGCACTTCCGGGTTGGTCGTCAAGGCCGCAGCTCCGGTGCCCCTGCCCGCTGAGTATGGGTACGTTGTTCTGACCGCAGCTTCCAGCTACGTGCTCGTTCAGTGGCAAGCAATTCAGGTAAGCCCCGGTTGATAGTGCTTTCTCCTCCTCGTTTATGGTTCTTCCGTTTCTTGCATTTTTAATCCGTCCTCAGAAGATTCTTGAATTCGTGCGACTGACATCGCATTCTGACGTCTTCGTCTTGAACTGTGTCTGCTACGAAATTCTCGCGCACTAATTTGAGCCCTGATGGAATTCGTAGTCTCTGTAATTCGAGGATACACAGTAGCTGGGAGATGCATTTGACGAGGAAAGTCAGTGCATAGAACGTCAGTTCTAGTGGCAATAAAGCGATACATTCATTGTATATTTTAACGAAATTAATTTTTGAGTTGCTCTTGTTTTTCGTACCGATTCTTGCAATTGTCTGCACACCTTCGAAATTCATGACGATCTGATGAAGTGAATGGTCATTCGAGTTGCTGTGACTTACATGCTGTGCGTGTATTTAGGTGAGTATGCAAAGGAGGAAGTCTGGAATCCAGTACCCCAAGGTATGCAGCTGTATCCTGTCGGATGAATATTTGTCGATTTCTGTTTCACCACAATGCTGTGCCCTGCAATGTACGAGCTTGAATATGACAACATGCAACAAGTTTTCCTTTACTGGAAAGAAAGTAGTTGAAATGCCCTTGAAACCATCATTCGGCTTCAGACCACTCGATCTGTGGTGCATGCCTTTCTTTCATGTTGTAACCACCAATGCTTGTATAATAACAGATGTACGAGGATGCCGACCCTTCTGTGTTCAACTGCTATCAGCGTGCACACCAGAACACCTTGGAGTCGTATCCTGCGTTTTTAGCACTGCTTCTCGCCGGTGGACTTGCTTACCCAATAACATCTGCAGCGTAAGCAAGCACATGTCACCAATCATCATTTCAATTGTCTTTTGGGGGACTTGTCCTTACAATCTGTTTTTGGTGCTGTGATTGCTCTATTTCCGCATTTAAGGAGCTTCAGGCTCCGAAGGAGTAAATGAGCGCCTTTCGGGTGCTCACAGTGTGTGCCAGAACTGGAAACTGGACATGACGAGTGTTGATATTTTCGTCGAAAGCTTATGTCTCAGTGAAGTATCGCTTATGCTGCAGATTTGGGATGTTGTGGGTCGTTGGAAGAGTAGTCTACTCACTCGGGTAAGTTTTTTTCTTGGCCCGCTTCAGGATCCTTTTACCTCAGAGTTTGAAAATAGATGGTTACACATGGACCTCACTGTGTGTACCGAAATCTAGAGCAGTGCCCCACCTTCCACCTGCAGTTGGCTACAGAAGCCTACTATCCGGTTGAAAATTTACAAATCTTTGGCTTCGGCTTCCATGCCTTGTCTGGATGATTCATAGCACAATCAGCTGATATAATTGCGGTGTGAAACGATCTAGAAGATGATGGTAGGGTCAGTTTTTCGTTCTGGTGACCAGCACCTACAGGTCCAGTAGCTTTGCCCATCTGGTGTTTTTCCTTCATTCTGTAATCCTTTCGACATCGTATGAATGAAACAGGTACTACACTGGTGATCCCAAAAACCGTCTGAAGGGAGCTTTCAATTTCTTTGGACTTTTCGGACTTCTTGGAACATGCTTGGTATTTGGTGCACGCCAGATCGGGATGTTGCCTATTGGTTAGGTGCAGCTTGAAGAGGGAAGAAAAGTAACAAGTTTCCTGCCGTTCAAAGTCTTGACTGTAATTGTAATCACCAGTCATGGAATAGGTTACGTCTACGAAGTTGTACAATAGAGAGAAGTTTGAATATCTGGGTGTAAACAAGCCGAATACAACTAAAGTCAGTAATTTTCTCCACTTGTGCTGCATCAAGCGGGTGAAGCCGTATGGAAGAAGTTCCGAAGAAGGCAAATAGAGTCTATCTTTGGTCTCTAGCCTCGAAATGAGAGCTTCAATGTTGTGTGGATTACCTTTGCTTTAAAAGTGAGTTTGAGAAATCTGAGCCTTTGTTTTCCTGGAAAGCATGCGGGGCTCACTCGGTCCTCTAATGACAAAGAACTTGGTGAGTTCATGAGCAGATTTGTATGGGATCCGTATCATGGAAGCTTTAGTGTCTTGTATCGTCTGGTCGTTACGAATCGATTCATTACTGGATATGGCGAACTTCTAAAGCGAGCTGAAATTTGTGCAGAGAAGTGTTCAGACTGCTGAACCCAAATGCCACAGAAGGTGCTCAGATTGTGTGTATCACTGTTCTTAAAGAAAATGAAGACGGTGTTGCACCATAAGATACTTGAGCTGCCCACCATGCAAGGCCATAACGCTGGAATTTCATCGACGAAGAGATACCGCGAGCGATACATCGCAGTCGAGCATCATGAGAAGCTCTGCTTAACGAACAGAGGGTCCTGGTCGATGAGTATCTGTGGGAGATTACGAACTGCCTCGAAAAATAACCCTCGATTCGGCAGGTTGACGACCGAGTAGTTCGTTCATCGCCTCAGATGCCCCACTACAAAACCTTGCGTAACCTTGGATGATGGACCTCGGTGGTCAGTACTGGATATTCCTCAATACCATACCATGTGATCGGTGCTGCCCAGAGGCATCACGGGATAGACCGGGAACACGCCCTGAACTTAAGTGTGTTCGTGAGTTTTTGCGCTTAATGAAAAATCCTGCAAGCTCCCTGAACTAGACCAACACTTTGGAGGCATCCACAGCCGAAAAGTGAGCTTCCATTACTAAGAGAGGCCCAAAACCTTCATGATTTACACGCCGGCCCAGTCTTCCATTAATGGAAATCTGGAAATCTGATCAAGAGTACAGCAAGCAAATTGTTACACCTTCAAGTATATGACGTTTTCTCCATGTTGAGACGAATGCTAAAGACGATTCCTGTAACGAGTCAAGTTGTACCTCATTACAGGATTCTCACAGCTCGTCTAAAGTTAACCCCAAAGTTTGTCAATCCGCACACAAACAGGAGGTCACAAGAATTTGCAACCTCAATCTAGACCTGCTTGTGTTCACCACAAAAGTAAGAGCTAAAGAAGCTCATCGAGTGGTCCATATCGGTAGACCTGATTTGATAACACTCCTATCCTAGAATGGTTCTCGATGGATCGATCGAGAAGTACTGCCTTAGAAGACTCCCAAGTCCAGTTGATATGCTTAAGGTTTATATGGTTAAACCCTATAACCGTTATAGGGTTCAAGTACTTAAGAATATGTTTAATACTTTCAACACGGTGGGGTTTATAGTATACCTCACCGTGTTTCTTGTATCTATTGGATCGGAGATGTACATATAAGATGAGTTCTTATATTCATAGATTGTAAATTTTTGATAGTATGTATCTTGTAGGTGCAAAGGGACATATATTTTATCGCGATACTATCTTGACCTAGCCCCTAGTCTCCCATTTATTTAGTTATTTTTGGCTTGATGGACATGTACATGGTGTTTGTTATTTATTTTTATATATATCCCGTGACCTCTTTCTTAAGAGTTTTGCGTAATGCCGTTTCTGGAAACCTTTCTCCTACTGGTTGCGATTATAAAATCGCAAATGTCTCCCTTGAAGAGTATGATGCTGAATGTTTCAATCAAAGTTGATGAGGTACGTAGAGAGGGGTGTCGAAAGTCAATGCATTTTAGTCAAGGCGGGTCATTTAGATTTTGACCTGGAACCCGAGTAGGCAAGGACTCAAAACACGATGAGACTAAGTGTTCAAAAAAGCTCAAAAAGGCACTTAGGAAAGGGTGTTGAAGAATCATACAATTTTATAGAGGCGGGGAATTTTATTCTTCGACGAGATGCGTGAAAAGGCAAGAAGAGTGACAGTGCAGGAAAACAAAGAAACAAGGCTAGACGACATTGGACCACGGGCTCACATATCCGAGCTATGAGGCTTCTGATTTGAAGTTCTCTTTTTTAGACGAAGATTGTCATTTGTGTTATGATGGGATGGTTGATGAATACAATTCCCAGGAGGCATGCCTTGCAAGAAAGACTGAGATAAGCTACAACCATCAACTTTGAGCTACTTTTTCAAACTATAATTCTTTCATCACAAATCATCTATGAACCTATGGTCTGATCGACACTTAGAACTTCAAGACGACAAGAAAAGTACACTTTGACACTCCTGTGATGTAGGGACGTTCACCTCAAGTTGAGGTGTGAGTGGTAGATTCAGTTTTAGAGTGTAATGTTTGGAGAATACGATAGTTTCAAAGAGGAATTTTGTTCAAGGAAATAATAGTATAACAAAGAAGTAAGAACCGTTGGATTCACCAGTCTTGATAACTTCACCTTACCACAAGGACTACAGCTCTCATTTAACTTTTCAAAAGGATTCCTTTGAGTGTTTTATTTTTGCTTCTGATGATTAAATCATTGACCACCTTGTCACTATTAATGTAATGGTAACCCTAGTTAGATAGTAGCCCGTAGGTGGAGCTATTACATAATGTAAAGCAGTTTTGCATTTACTAAATTTGAACTAATTTGAACTAATCTCTGTAGGTACTAGAGTGATGAAAACACCCTGGGTTATTTTGAAATACTGCTGCTACAGCTCCCAACATTTTATTGAACATTATTTGTTTCAAGAACATGGGTCATTTATAATTGAAAGCCGGTATGGCTGAAATGTGGTATATTTTATATGCGATGTTCATTAACAAAAAATATTATATAATGATATCTTTGACGTTGAATGTGGAGAGCGTTGATAACTAAGATCAATGATTGGATACATTTATCAATAGGGCATTGATTTCAAATAGCATGCTTGGTTAATCATTTACCTCCCAATATATAGGGCTATGATGTGAACTTCTTCGTTAGTTTAGGTTTGCATTTATGTTAAACTGTCACCACTGACTTTCACATTTCACTTAGAGAGGGGGTGGCGATTCTTGAGCTGATCAATGTATCATATCAGAATTTCCTAGTGGTAACGCAATCCTGTTTGTTAGATCCACGGCCGATCCAAGACCATACGCCAAGCCTTCAAATAGGACTTCATGGCGAGGCCAGAGGAATGCTCTGCTGGCTATGTCAGAAAATCATTGTGATATTAGGAAGAAAAGATGTTGTAACTTGGACCTGCTTCAAACCTCAAACAGAGAACTACAAATGATAGCGTAGATCATTTAATATCAAGGTCCTCCAGCCTCTGGAAACCTTCCCTCCTTCACTCCCATAATCTCCAGTCCAGTCTCCAACCTTCCTGTATTTTAGAACATTGAGTATGAGTAGGCATGGTTATATTAGATGACTAAATTAACTAAATTTTATGGTGATTAGGCGAATAAATTAAGGGAGTTGCGATTTCATGCCTACATGTTATGAACAATGGAGAGTGAACATGTATGCAAAATTGATGGATTTTTTAGTTTATTATTTCTAAGTTAATATTATATATATATATAATTTTTAAAAAATTTAAAAAAAAATTAAGTAAACAAATTAGCTAAAATTATTATTTTTAGAATTAATTTAGTTCAAATGATTTTAGAAAGTTTTCAGTCTTCAAACAAGTTTTCTAACGCTCCTAAATTAACCTAAATTTTCTTTATAAGGAGACTAAATTCGTCTAAATTAATGTTTTTGAATAGACTAAAGTAATTTTTTCGAGACCAAATTATATCCATGCCTGAGTATGAGGTATAAAATGCAAATGAGCAATGTTAGATATTATGGCGTAACAACACAACTACGTCCACAACTATTTTCAATAGAACTGATTACATGCCCTATGGAAAATTATTCTCGAAGGAGGGGCACGAGGGAAGAGCGTGGGATTTCTCGAGTGAATGGTGAAGAAATTTGACACTGGCTGCCAGAGAAAATGGGATTGAGTGATCAGTCGAGGGAGGTGAGAGAATTTACCAACAGAAAAGCATTTCATTCACGTCACGAAGAGGAGTTGCCGTACATAATATGAGCTGATTTATTATTATTGATTGAGATATTGTTCGAAGTTTATGTCGCAAGTACTGAACCACCTGAACAAAATGATATACGACGAAACATGTCAACACTTAATTGTAGGGTCAATCCTCTGGTTCTCAATTAAGAAAGAGTTGAGACTTAGGAAACGAAACCTGCAAGTCTAGGGTTCAGGGTTTAGGGTTTTAGGGAAACGAAACCTGCAAGTCGATAGAAATATAGACCAGAGTGACAATGACCTCTCAGCTCTCAAACTTTCAACAGCTCCCAAAAAAAACTATTTCATCCGAATTTCATTCGATTCTACATACGCTCATGAGAAATTTCAAGGTTAGAGACTGAATCGGGTAACGAGAACGCTGCCTCTTCTCCAACAGCAACGAGTCCAATCGCCTGGCTCCGCTCTGAATGAATTCAGAAGGCATATCGAGCTTACAGCACTCACCTGCGCATGGCATCGTCAATGCAAAGGCGACGTCCAGGTTCTCCGCACAATTTCCCGAACCACTTCACATTCACACTAGAAATCTTCTCGATTCTGTCACCTCATGCCCTTCGATAAGTTTTGAGCGTCACCCGTGACGACGGCTGAGCTTCGTCTGCTGGCTGGCTGACGGACGAGAACTCGACGGATCGTAGAATGAAACGCTCAGACCACGAAGGGCACACGAATTATTCATGACGCGGCGCAGGAGCGGAAGAAAACTTGTGATGTTGATCGAAGATTGACCGCGAGCTCGGTGGAGGTTTAGGGTTTAAACCTCTCGAGTATAAAGGTAGATCCATCGATCCATCGAAGCAGATTCAGGTTTAGCGACAACAGCAGAGCTCGAATTGCGCCGTTGAGATTTTGCGACAACTGATCGAGCGCGGGTCCACCATCACCGCCATTAACGTGGTTTCAGTGTTCTCTTCAGGCAAGTATGGCCTCGGCGTCTTCCGAAAGCAGCAAGGAAGATGTGGCGAAGAGTTTTGGCGGCAATTATAAGATGGGGCTGGCTTACGGCCTGAAGATAGATTGCAAGGAAGACTACGACGAACTGAAGGCCATCAAGAAGGCCATGAAAAAGGGCGACAGACAACGACAGTCTGGATCTGGATCTGGGAAAACACGCAAGCACAGCGAGAAGTCATGAGCGCGGCCGCGTGCGTCCCCGTTCCGCCTCAGCTCGGCAGGCGCAGCTGCTAGCGATGTGCAGTTCCTGTCGTCGATGCTCTGCAGTCTTCGATTGAGGGAGGACGCGAAATCCCGACATTCTTCAAACTTGCCCTAGAGGCATGCTCGAATGTCGGACGGTTCTACGGATCCAGAAACTTTCAATCGATCAGTGCTCTAAACTAAGTCGAGGCGCAGACCCGATCTGCGAATTCCTCAGACACAATGTAGTCCAGTTCTTGAGTAAATCTCGGAGGATTGGAATTTCCAAACTCTTGCAATAAACGATCGATTTGACCGATAAATGTGGATGATACGCTGTTTGGGAGGGTTCTAGTCGGACGAGGACCGGAAATAGCCGGTTCTCGCACACGCTGGAGTCGGTTCTCCGGCACAGTATTCTGAATTCCAGACACGTGTCATTCGTTCGCAGCCAGAGTAGAACTCGTGTCTGACACACTCGAGAGTGAGTGAGTCTCGGGTTGCCGTTCTCGGGCGTTACGGAGCGGCGTAGAGACGACGGAGCTACTGCGCCGTGCTGCCGTCGGTAGGTAGAGCACCGACATCTGTCTGTCCTAGGTTCCGGTGCAGTCGGTAGGAGAGTGGACGAAGTTTCTAGAGGACGGTCGACATAATGAGAATAGCAATGATTCCTTCTAGCCACCTCCGGTCGTCGGCCTGGACGGATTTACGAGCCCTCGAGGCAAACTTACGGAGGCGGGCTGTCCGTCTGTCCGTCCCGGGGGTGCTAGTTGCCGTTTTCGCTCGAAACACGAACGTGCCGGGATTCATTGTGCCCTCAGCACACGGGCCCCCAGTGGCAGTCTGGGGGGGGGGGTCAGCTCCTCCTCCTCCTCCTCCTACTCCTCATCCTACTAATTCTCGCCATAGAAATCTCTCCTGAACGTGCTTGACTAGATCAAATCAAATCGAAGAGGACATTTTGCGAAATTTGTTCTTCGTTGCTACCGATGAAAGATGTGAGAGCTCGGGAATCCAGTTCGAGCGGTTCGTGTAATCAGGTGTTCCTTGATCTGAATGAGCTTGAGCCATCCACATCCAAGGCAATCGAGCCGATCGTGTGCCCTCCCGTCCCCTATTCCCTCGAGAACCACGTGTGCTTCTGACCATTCTTTGAAGAGAGTCTCTACTCTAGTTCTCAGATTCCGACTCCTGGATCCGGAGCTGGTGATGTTTCACTTGTTGTTGTGTCATGCAGATCAGATGAGTGGCAGACGACGTGAGAACGGAATCTCTCACAACGGAGCCATTGCTGAGAAGATTGGGAGGGAATCTATGAGGAGTTCGGTCTAGTGAGTGAGCAGCTCGGTATCACAGTCATACAGCCAGTAAAGCTCATTATCGATAGAGCAACTCATCAGTCTTGAGCATCTGATTCTTGCAGATACCTCACTGCAGAGAAAGAGAAAGAGAGAGAGAGAGATGTCTGCGGCAGTAGAGCGTCCGCATGTAGGCACGGATTCCCAACCTTGATCGATCATGCTCTACGAAGAAACTAGAGCATGCTGTACCAAGTGACGTAACAGTGGGCACAAACTGCTAAGAGATTGGGATGAGAAGTTTGCCGGCTCATGTTCTAACCATACGGAAGGCAGCTTTCAGCGTGAAGCGACTCTGTCTGTCTGTCTGTGTCATACAGACGTCACGTAAGTGAGAGATGTGGTGCACGGTCGGTGCATTAAAGCCCCACAGGTAAGTGACATTGACTGCAGTGAAGTTCCTGGAAAGGCTACTGCAGTCAACGAACATGGCGGCCCTACGAAGCCTCGAACGATGGCCAGGTCACCGATCGATGACCTGGTTCCAGTCAAAGTTAGTCACTCCCTCGGAGCTTCACTCTTACCCAGCATGAATTCTTCTACACTCAAAGCACGATCGTGATCGCAGGGTGCGTGAGGGATATACTGGCTCTGTACTTATGGAGAAATCTGTTGTGAGCCGTTCGATTGACCTCGTCAACCGGCACTTTTTCGATTCCTTCTTTCCTCCTCTTCCTCCTTTCGTTCCTTCATGTTTGGGACTTCTACTGTCAATGAGTTGACATGTTTGGTTAGTTCGCTGGTCCAGGACTTGTTAGTCAGCTCGCCTACAGTTGAGAAGAGAACAGCGGCGCCTTTCGAGGATTGACCACGGCATATCCCCTTCTTGCACATGATTGTCTCACATCCTTAGACCAAATGTAGTGTAAACAAATGTGGGTCAATCCTAAAGGCCAATTTTTTGTTTTTTCTTCAGAGGCCAATTTTTCCTCTATAGGTATCTCATTCGAGATTGAAGAGTTTTCTTTGCGAAAGATTAGCAAAGATAAAATGAATAGGAACCTACTTTTGAAAGCTCTCGCATTTTTCTGTTCTGGCTAGTAGAAATATTCGGCAGAGACTGTTCACAATTCTGATGGCTGTCACACGAAAAATGCACCATAGAGGAGGCAAGTTTAAAAAAAGATCTTGTTGCAGTGACGAGTTGTGTAGACTAGCACAGTATCAGTAAGACAATCAACATGGAGATGCCATGTCGATATATATATTGAGGAAGTTTACATAAGAAAGTCCATGCAGCCATTCATTTAAGCCTGATACATATGTTTTTTAAATATGGAGCTATGGAAGTATTCTCCGTCACAATGTCATGTAGATCTCTCTTTCTCTTCCAAAAAAAGTCCAAAGCGCAAACACTTTAGTCACTGTGGCAGGCTCTAAGAATGTCGGGGTGAAAAATAAGTATCATAATAGTGAAACATCATGGCAACTGGTCCACCAGCGGAAGCAGCTGGCTCATCAGCTGACATGGGCTGCGATCGGTGGGATGATGCATCACTAGTTATTTACCACCAATTTCTCTTCAAATTTATTCTAGTTTCTCTTCCTGAGTCGCAAGTGGAGACGAGTCATCGTGCTCGGAACCTTAACTTACACAATCAGAGTAGGACCGTGTCAGCATCTGTAGAAAAGAACTTGCTGAAAGCTTAATTTGCTAGCACATTGACAGAGACTTGGACTTCCATGGGAGTGCGACCCAGGCCCAGTCTGTACTCGCTGCTTTGAGTCACCTGTTGAAATTAATGTTGTCTACAATGTGCTACGTAGGAATCAATACGACAGTGTCCATAGTAGTAAGAAATATTGAATACTATACAAGTCTGAAAGCTGAGTTTTTCTACTTTGTCACAGGAGTGGCGTGCATTCATGGACTTCCACCGATGCTTACGCACATGGAGTTACTTACAACAGGTGATGACATGGATAAAGCTGGAACCCAGCACTTCGTCCATTTGAACGAATGATACCAAGAGGAAAAAGCCTGGAAACTGGATGTTTGAAACTGCAGAGCTTACCTTTTTAAAAAGCGGACAGCACTTATCAGTCAAATTTGCGGAACTAAGTTTTGATTAATAAGACAGCGTGAGATGATGAAGGAGACCCTTCGAATTTGACTATTATCTAGTTTGAGATAAGATTTGTGAATAAAGAAACATACAAACATTACGTACATAGAAATTATAATTATGAACCCGATATCAGTTTATCATATCATCTAAGTACATCGTCGAAATGAGACCTCTTACACGGACATAAAGTGCGGCCCAGACTTTAAGAATGTCGGCTCAAACCAAATAAGTCTGCTCGTGTTCGATCTCCTTTTCATGGTGGTGGTGGGACATAGTATTTATATCTTTTGCGGGAGGCATCTTTTACCCATCTTAGAGGGTAATAACTTTACCCTAAAACTCAATCATGGCTCATTCAGGACACGCTTATGTAAATCTTTCAGATCTGAAAGTTCCTGCGGCCGGTGAGTTATGATTGAATGGGGCTCGAGTCATAATAGAGGAAAAGAGGTTTCTTACTCGGTAGGGCTACAACGGACTCCTCTTGCAATATTTCTCGACCCAGCTAGTATGCTAGCTGTCAGACTCTTCTACTGCAATGTGCATGTCCCTACAATTTCCGTTACATGGCACTGCCGATACGCCCTCTTTTTCTCGTCAAGTTGTGAGTCGGGGATTTTGTGTTGCAATTTAAAATCAGATCTGAACTGGATATCATGTCCAATCAGAAGAGAAGCATCACAAATTCATACTACCGAGTCCTGTGCTTCTTCGAAGCGCGGTCAATCAGGAAACATAGATCTTTGCCAATAGAAGGCCAGGGAAGCGGTGCAATATTCGACGAGCATGTGTGACTTCCAGAATATCTAAGGCTGGACAAGCTCGGCGAAATGTGCGAAACAGTGCCGAAACTATTGACCCGCATGGCGATCGAAGTGTGTCCTGTGCACATGGCAGCCGAATTGAATGGGGGGGGGGGGGGGGGGGAGGCACTTTTGCATGATCGCATTCCAAAGCGAAGCGCCGCTTCTCGCGAATCATGCACGGAAAGTACGAACCCCAACGACCCGTTGCACCGGGACCTGGTGCACTCCCTGACAAAAGACTCTCGCCTACTCCCGGTCAGCCTTAACTCCGAATCCACCCCTGCCGACAGCTCTGAGAGTGCGCTGAAGTCGTCCGATCATGATCCTCATGCACGAGCAAAATCCAACCATTCCCGGTGACGGTGTCCGGTTTGCAGATATGACACTGCTTGTAACCGGTCGGACTCTCGAGGGCATCAGAGCGAAAGCATCCCATCGCTATTGGTGATTTTAGATAGAATTTCAAAATTTTGGTAGTGTGATGCTAGAATCGAATGCCCGTATGCCGTGATTTAAGTGTTCTAGAGAAAAGCGAAAATGAATGGGCACCGAGTAGACCGGTAGGAAAGAGAGGGAGCGACAGTCAGTCGCCGGTGGCGAACCGGAATGGCCTCGTCTGGCAAATTTAGACAAGCCGCGTCGCTCGAGTGTCGGGAGCGGGACAAAACGTGGCCAGCCCGAGTTGGCTGCTAACTCGAAGGTCACTATGCAGCTCGGCCAAATTTGGTACGCATCCATCCATCGTCCCTCCGGTCCAGCTAATCTTGCCCGCCCGCCAGTCAGTCAGTAAGTAAGTCAGTCAGTCAGTCAGTCAGTCAGTCAACCATCCAGCCCCTCCAGCCCCTCCAGCCAGCCAGCGAGCCAGCCAACCAGGCGCGAGCGCGGGCGCCCTCCCGCCATCGAGCATCTTTTCACCTCGACCTGCCCCCGCGGTCCCGCATCTACGTAACCTGACCGGAGTTAAGAGCCAACCAGAGGACCGACTTCGCAGCCCGGAGCGAGGAGCGGGACTAGGATCATGATCACTAAGGTCAAAGCACTAAGCACTGAGCACTAAGTGCGGATTAGCAGCCCCCTGCGAGCTGGAGTTTGTCAATTTGTCGTGGATTTCCCAAGTTCGCGGTGCTAAATCTCGATTAGCGCCCCTAAGCTCAAGGGCTGCTGGCCTCGCACAAGACAGAGCCCGAGCGCGAGCGAGAGGGAGAGAGAGTTCTCGAGGCGCTCAGACGCAGACGAAGGCAGAGGCAGCAGCAGCAGCAGCAGCAGCGCCCAGAGTGAAGAAGGAAGACGCTGCTGACAGAGTCACCGAGAGAGGCGCTTGGGAACGAGGGAGAAAGGAGAGGAGAGGAGAGGAGAGGAGAGGAGATTGAGAGAATGAGAGGGAGAGGATTTTGAGGGAGGGAGGGAGAGAATCGAGAGGCGGATTGATTGATTGATTGATTGATTGCGGAGAGGAGGAGTGGAGGAGTGGAGGAGTGCAGGTGGTGACGAGAGCCGGGAATTGGAGGTGGAGTGGGGTGCTGCTGGGATGGGAATGCTGGGGTGGTAAAGGACGAAAGAACAGGAGGATTAGGAGGAGGAGGAGGAGGAGGAGGATGAGGTGATGATATGGAAGTCTAGATGTTTAAGATGTCGGCGCTAGGGAGGTTGGGCCGGCGCGTCTCAGAGGATCTCGATGGGCATTACACCATCCGGCCGGATGTGCCCGAGGCGCCGCCCAGTCGGTTCCGCCCCAAGGTTCGTGATCGGGTGCGGAGGTGTTTGGATTTGGTCTTCGCTGTCGATGTCCCTGTCTTCGTCGTCGTTGTGGTGTGCGTGGTGGAGCAAATTGGATGCTTTGGTTGTTGTTGTTGTTGCTGCTGCTGCTGCTGTCAGTGGGGTGGTCTATTTCGGTCTTCATTTGGGAGTGGAGAGGAGGCAGAGAGTTGAATGATTCAGAGCCCCAGGGCTCTGAATCATCCTGTGAATCACTTCTTTCCCAGAATCCGGGTGGTTTTGCCGTGCTTTTACCACGTCAGCTGATTAAGCGAGGGTGATCCAGTGTGTGCGGATCTTTCCGTTCATTTGTTGAATATTTTGTGAAAATTTCCGACCCGAATACTCCCCTCATCTTTGCTGCGAATCCGGACGATTCTGTGAAGATTGGTAGTTGTACTGACGACGAATGGCGCAATGTGTTGCAGCTTGGCAAGAGGTTGAGTCCCAGAGCTTGGCATGCCGCGTTTAATAAGTCGAATCAGCTTGACCTGGCTAAAGTGATCACTCGCATTCAAAGAGGGGTGAGATTCCTGGAAATTTTCATCCTCTTCAGTGGATTGCACATTACATCTTCCAAGTGGTTCGAACAGTAGTCAACTCAGCTTGTTGGGATCCTGGAATTGAGGAAAGTCGCAAGGCCTCCCTCTTTTATTGGAATCCATAGTTCAGTATACTGCGGCGAGCAGATTTCGCTGTACGAGATCCGTGATGAGAGGTGAATATAGCTCCAAGGAACAGGAACAGATTTTTCTAGTGAGATTGAAAGTCCACTGCAGAACCAAACTGGGCAAAATGCTGGATCGACAGTACGTTATGGTATCGTACAATTTCCCAACGTGTAAGCTATACGTTGGGATATCACAACATCGTGGCGATTCTTTTCTTGTTTAGATTTTGCCTGTTTGAGATTGGACATATGGAGATCCAAGCCATAAGATCCATAAGCTGACCTGAACGATTTCTTACCTTATGCCTTAAGTGATTGAGACGTGGAATGTGGAAACGCAGGGTATTGATCCCTCAATAAGAGCAGAAGTATGGGAATTTTTGTTAGGAGCTTTTCCCCCTGATAGTACCAATGAGGCGCGTACTACTCTACGTTTGCAACGCAGGTGCTTCCTCTTCTTTGTGCCCCCCGGTATGCTTCGATTTCCAACCAATCAGTGCTAAATGATAGGGAATGATGTCTGTGCATCTAGTCTTAGTCTTCCTGTGGTAGTGAAATACTCTGGTCTATGGTAGCAGCTGAATCAAAGACAGTGGAAAGTACTTCTCACAGTTGTGGTTCGCTGATTGCAGGAAAGAGTATGCCAAACTCAAGGAGACATGTCAGGCTATGGATTCCGCCGTAGGTAGTGGTGAAGTAGTGACTCTACCTCGCATCGATGAAGATGAAGTAAAACCTAAGAAAGATGAAGGCATAAGGAGGAGACAGACAAAGAAACATAGGTTTGTTGTACGAGCCGATTGGTGACATGGAACCTTTCTTTTCGTCAGAGCGCTGGGATTTATTTATAGCTTCTGATATCTAGCTGATTGTACGGATTGAGGATGAAAACTCATTCACATCTATGTCTATATTTCCTTCCGCCCCAGCACCCTTTCCTGAGTTTTGAAGTCAGTGTTTGGAAAGAAGAGAAACCAATTTCCAAGATTCGCATGAAATGGAGATTCAGTCCGCCGATAACTTGGAGGAGAGATGGATGCTACGTGTTAGGTCAGGTCTAGAGTCACCCTCGGTAATGACTTCTCCTCAACTGTGTCGATTGTACCTTGCTGGCATTGGTTATTGATCTTAAATTGATGTAAATTTGTTGATTTCCATGTGCCATGTGTATTTCTACAGAGATGACGAGTCAGGCTCTTCCGATTTAGAACAAACGAACGGAAACGAAAACGCAGCCATGGATGATAGTGTGAAAAACTGGAAGCTGATCTTACATCAAATAGGTGCGCCGTCTCACATGTCCTGTTTTAAACTCCATGCTACATTTCTTATCTGGAAGTCGGTTGGATTATAGATTACTTGAATTAGTTCCGAGTCTGTCAGGAGTTATTTTTCACATCCCAGGAATTGCATGTCCTTGTTTGGTAAAAAGTATAACTTTTTGTCGACTTTGTACAGGTTTGGATGTTGTACGAACAGACAGAATGTTACAGTTCTATGAAGTACCTCAAAATCAAGCAAGACTCTGGGATATTTTGGCCTTATATGCATGGTATGACCAAGAAATCGGATATTGTCAAGGTGAGTCACCTTCCTACTTTCTCCTGGAGATCACACTGTATTTCCTCTGCCACCGTCCGCTTTCTTGTCTAGTACTATCACCCCACATAGGCATTGTGTGTGGGGTGCACAGTAAACACTAAGGTCGAACCAACTATGTAATGTTTCCTACGAATGAAGTTTTGACAAATGCATTTTGAAGCATAAAGTCACCAGCAAATCAAGTGTTAATGTAACATCAACGTCAACGACTGTTTTGTTTAACCTTGCAGGTATGAGTGACCTCTGCTCTCCATTGGTGGTATTATACACGGATGATGCAGATGCATTTTGGGTCTTTGAAAGGATCATGGCGCGAGTGGTATGTGTACTTCTTTTAACGCGGATTTTTGCTAGACTATTTCCTAGCACATTTTGATGAATATTTCCTGCTGCTCTGCATGTGGGAATTTGAAGCTTCTGGCCTACATCAAAGTCGGTGGATGCTGAGAAGGATTTTTGTTTGTTGTGTGAAACAGCGGGCAAACTTTTTGTGTACAGAGAAGGCAGTGGGTGTGCAGAAGCAGCTGGAAAATTTAGCATCTATAATGAAGCTCATGGATCCAAAACTTCATCAGCATCTCGGTAGGTAGTCTCGTTCACAACTGCCCTGTGGTCAAACTCTGTTCACTGCATTGTTCCTATAATTATTGCGGTAATAAAACATTTCATGAGGGAGCTTCAGCTTTTTGAAAGTTTTGAGTCACAGGATGAAGTACAGATAATGAATCAGTGTCAGGACTAGGTGGAAGATTATTAAACGTGGGTATTGTGGTATCTTTTTAGCAGAATGAAGCCTTGAGGTCAAGCTAGTTCAGTTCGCTTTGTAAGTCGTTTCTTTCGATTCTTCTAATTCGCAATAACTGATTTATAACAGAACAACTTGGCGGAGGAAATTACATCTTTTCGTTTCGAATGGTGATGGTCCTTTTTCGCCGTGAGTTCTCTTTTGCAGACACCCTTTACTTGTGGGAGGTGAGTATCGTGACCGCTTTGTAATTGCTAATATTTCAATTGCGACGAGTCAAATATGAATAGATTCCAAATAGCTGGAAGTTACATCCTAATATGGCACTTACACATGATAACTTTGGAAATTGTAGATGATGTGGGCTTCAGAGTTTGTTCCAGCCTCGCCCAAAGATTGGAAATCGAGTAAGACTTACAGTTGGAGTGGAAAATTTGGTAAACAACTATTGAAAATTGGAACAACCAAAGATCCGGGTAGCAACGCTCCGATGGCAGTGTTTTGCATGGGTGCAATATTCGAAATGCAGCGGACAAGACTCCTGAAGGAGACCCAAGGCCTTGATGATGTTGTGAAGGTAAGCTAGTAAATCCTCATCACTTCATGTAAGTTTTAATTAATGCAGATGCTTATGCAGGTCATTAATATCACTGAGGTGGCCAGATTCTTCCAGATTCTGTTCCCTAGATTGGCAGAAAGGTGTCGAAAAAAACATAAGCCAGGAGTTTGTTGGTTTGTATTTTGATGATTTTGGTCAAATATGTGTCACTTCTGCAGCTTCTGAATGAGATCACAGGCAAAGTCGACCCGAAGGTGGCATGCAAGAAGGCCGTCAAGCTACACAGAGCTTACCTACATAAGGTGCGGCTTGTAACTGTCATTAGCAGCTTTTGCAATAGCAGTAATAGCTTAACAATGTAGAAGCAAATGTTTATTGGGTCTGAACTGTGGTGTTCATGTCAAAGCCGAATCCAACACGTTGGTCCATGATGCAGGTTGGTAAAGTAAATTAGATATAATTTTAACATAGGTGTTGCAATGGAGCTTCTTCTGGTGGCTCAATCTGGCGGTCTGCTGGACAATTCATTCCTTCGCTCGGAAACCACGCGGCGAACGAAGTGATTTGGCAGACTGCCGATTACTCGTCGGAACCGAACAACTTGCTTCATGCAGCATGTGTTAGGAGTGGTTGCTATGATTCAAGACGTTAGGTCTTTGGCCGGCCTGAAAAGCTTAGAAGAAGGCATGGAAGTTCATTAAGCTCCTGCATGGTCTACTTAGCTGTAGGGCAGGAGACAGGAAGTTTTTGTATATCAAAATGTGCCGGTTAGGTTCATATTGGGTGGTTAACCTTCTACCGGCCCCATTTGTATTGATTATCAGATAGTGTAGTGTGTACAGCATTTTCTTGAGCTGTCTTCCTCTGTTATTGAACAATCATATCGAAAAAGATCGCATATTTGGAAGCTCATGGGCCGGAAATTTCAAGTAAACAAATCCTTTGTCCTTTTAAGTGACCCTTATGATCCTCTCTTCCCCTAAGTAGCATGTAGCAGCATTTGGCCTAAGTTCAACATCTGATACACGAATCTTGCACGCTGTCCAGAATCAAACACTTTAGTCACAAAGAACGTTTAAATAAAGCAAGAGCGTTGATATTAACGTTCAACTCATAGGAGTCCAATTGCCCTTCGTTAGTTATCCTGTCAGTCACCTATTTGTTATCCGTGATATTACTTTCCAAAACATATCCAGAATATATTCACCTTCAAGTTGGCACACGAGACGGAGTTGTTAAACTCTGATGTGTGTAATTTATTCCAACCAAAATCAAGACGTATCATCGCCTCATCAAATGATTAACCTGATATTGATTGCGAACATTCTCGCAAGATTGCCAACTTTGATTCCAAAGCATTGTCAATCTACAGTACTCATTATATCATGTGTGAGAGAAATATAACTCTGGGACCGTGATTATATACGACCAGTATTGTGAATTAAACAGGACCAGGTTTTACAGCTAACAAAGGTCTCTTATCATCGGCTCAACAAGCAAGGTTCGTGTACGTGTGTGATCAGGGACACGTGATGAACAAATTGCAGAAACGGTCACAAATGTAAACGCAGCTGAGATATTCTAGACCATTGTCATGTGTTCTAAAGGTGAAATTGAAAAACATCATTTACATCGGATTTTTGTGCTCGATTAACAAGCATACTGCTATACTGAGAAGAAAGATAGCATTAACGTAAAAAAAATTAATTAAGATGGCATTATTTTTAATATCAACAAATTTTTTTAAATATATGATTAGCAGAATATTTCCAAAAGAAACATGTATTTTTACATTATTTTTTAGTGTTCATTCATGAAGTATAATCCATCATTACGGAAAAATCACAGGTTATGACATAAAATATTGTCAAAATATATCATCATGACCTTCTAACAACGAAAGAAACTCTAGACATGGAAACTTCGTGCATTGGAGGATTCTGGTAATCATATACAATGTGTTATAGTGTAATCTAGTGTGAAGGTAATTATCTACGTAAAATGTGCAACTTGAAATTTGACATCCCAAAAATGCAACCATGATGAGCAGTGAACAAGCTTTCCAATTCTAAGATTACAAGTCTTTTCTAAGATGTTGGAACAACAATACACAAATTTTATCAAGCAATAGCCACAGTACATAACACTTCTGTAATTTAGGAATATACTCTATCCCAAACATGTGTGTTCAGAACCTCAGTTAACTCTCAACATGTAGACTATTTTTTAATAATGTTGAGTTCTATTCCATTACACATATGAAGTTAACTTGAGACACCAAAAAAAGAACTATTTATTTACTGTATAATATTATAATAAGAACTCTATGAAAAGAACTAAATACTCTCCAGTTGGTGAAATGCTACTCGGCCATCCAGGTAACCCATGCGTATTAGTTATTCATTTGAGCTGGCTCAGGAGAAGATGTGTTAGTTTACTCCGCTCATGTAAGGAAAGAGCACGGATGGAAATTTGTACCAGAAGATTGTGGCAAGAGTTTGTACAGGACCGAGGTCTAGATGTGATGGATTGAGTCAGAGAGGTCTCAGCTCAAAGGAGAATTCCAACGCCTGAAAAACCGTTCACATGACCTACAACATATGTTCTGCATAGAAAAGAAGATTGTTGGCATGGTTTTATTCTGGAATTGCTCTTTCGCTAGAGCTTTGTCGAGTGAACCAGAAGTCAGAAGTGGGAACCGTGAAAAGCTCTCGTGAAAAAAAAAGGTTAATTCCATCGATCGTTAAACGACCTGAACCAGTGCCAGTAGAAATCTCTTTCAATGGAAAAACACTGTCTGCAGTTAAGTTGGTATATAAACGATCACTGCTACCGTTCGACTCAATCGTTGGGCATTCTGCAAGAACCCATGAAGTGTGCCTCAAAGACAGGATTATTCTTCATTCTCATCCAACAGACTGTGAGTAGTCTGTGATATGTGGAAACGTTATTCGTCCAAAAGCTTGTGCACGTGAGAGTAACTGAAGTCCAGAACCCTTGTTCGTAAACCTTTCACTTACAGTTCTGTCCACAACGGTCGACAACTACACGTGATCTTGCGGCAGTCAAGAACCCTTGTTCTCAGACTTTATCAAACGTCGCTTTATGAATTTATCGTGCTTCACGATTCGTCAACTCTGCTTCTCTCGTGAATCCTGTCCGCAGCTCGTGGTTTGTGACGTATCATTATGATGTATCATTCTTCGATCGAACTCCTCCTTCACGCTTGACTTCATCGGTGTCAGTCAGATAATATATTTCCTTTTGGTATTTCTGCACATCAGTATTCACTCGATCACACGGACACTTTGATGAGGGTCGAGAAAATAAACGATTGGGAATCCATGGGGACATTTGACATCTGATTTAGTTCGGATTTACAGTAGCGAAGCCTCTTGTCGTTCACCTTGAAGACATGTCTTCTTAGATTTAGGACCCCCCCTAAACGTCCAAGCTTGGACCTTTCAAGCGTAGTGATTTCTTTGTGTCAAAGGGTATAATTTCTGCAATTTCTTGTATCTACTTAAACTTAAATGAACAATGCAAAGATTTGTAAGACCACAAATGGTCGTGCTTCAGACTGTAGTATAATAATAGGAGCATTGAAGTTCAGGAAATAGAATCAATATCTTGCCCGACGAGGACGAATGTAGCACTTGTCACTCCGGTTCTGAGAACAAAATATTATAAAAAGACCAGATTAACCAATAGATTCATCTACGAGACGGCAATTCGTAATTTATCATATATTTTATCAAAATTCACACAACTGGCAAATATCAACCTCCAATATCCTCGTACCTCATTCACACCGACTTCAACCGAACATCTCTACGGTACTCTCGTGATATTCCCTCGGGTGCTGGGATCCATTCCTGTTTTACCCCCACAATGAGATATTTACCCCAAGTATCCCACACACAGCCTTCTAAGTGTGTCAACTCTCAGTCCTGTCGAGACGCTTTTTTCTCCACTTATTCGATAACCAACGCAATCCAGCTACTCAGAGGAGCGGGAACCATTACGGGATGGCTTTTATCAGATATTATTGTATTAACTCAGACATGGTAACCGATTGTTGTATTCCAATGACATCCGGTGACCATGTCAGAGATGAAATTCGCCACACTCCTCCATAAATTCACGAAGGGGCGAGACCTTCCTTCAGTGATGTGCCAATCGCCTATCGTCCACAGAGAACAGATTCTGAGATCCTTTACAAAATAGTTCATAAGAAGCAGGAACTTTGAGAAAAATAAGATGACCCACACGAATTTATCAAACCATTGGTGGATAAAGGCATAAAGTTTAGCACGAAGCATTGAACATGCTTTCCTACTTGATTTTGTTTGTGCTGCATAAGCTACACCTTAGTATGTCGCTCCCAACCGAGGCGAGAAACTAGCTCCCACATTTCGTTTTACAAGGGAGAAGTAGTATGAGCAAACGCGGTGTGTGACAAAGCCATTCTCTTCTACTACATCCTGTAGGTCCTGTGACATGTTTGGGCGTTAAAGACAGTTTCCACCTGGTTCTCTGGAAAGAACTCAGGTGCCCCATAGTAGAATTAACTGAAAGAATATAAGCAAGCAACAGAAGAATGTGATAATGAAAATCGTAAAAGTCCACAAGTACTACATTGTTTCAAGCAAATCAGAACTTCTGAGTGAAGCCATTTACAAAAAAAACATTGAAATAAAAAATCAGCTCTGTTTAAAATGTCTCTCTCCTACATCAGAGTTCGTGGCTACATGGATGCTTCTTGGCAAATGAGATCAAGAGTGTGCATTGCGGACAAGGGAAAAAATATCTAGGGTTGCTAGGATTCCTTTATGAGGACCATTTGCCTGCATGAGTGCACAATTATCCATAACCAGTTAAATTCAACCCATCATGTCTGATCGGTGGTGGGCAGAAGAATTTGCAGCTGCAACCGTGATGGCATGCATGGCCTGCATGTTCTGAAGCTCACTGGAAGATGTGATATTTTGAATGAACGGCGGAACTTCCTCAAATCTGGCTGGAAACTGATTTTTGACCTTCACGAACCCCGAATAAGAAGCCAAAAATTGTAGTCCTACCATCATTCAGAATTCTTAGTTCCTCAGCAATCAGAGTTTGAAGCATTTGCACCAAATTTTGAGCTCACTATTATCTTACAGTAAAAATTGCAAATACACCCTGCAGAATCAATCCGAAAACAGACACCAGGCCTCTAGATTATGCTACACCAGATTCCTCCCATCTTTACAAATGTGACAGACGTGTAGGTTGTGGGAGCATTTCCTACGTTGGTATGAGATTTATGTCACAGGATCCTCCAGAGTCGCATTGACAAGATCATTAATCCGTGGATACGACGCCTTCTCGTCAAGCTGATTCTGTGCCCAGATCAGCATTTTAAGCAGGCTTGGTAGCTTAGGATCTGTATCCGCATGGTCAACAAAACAAAAGTTAACTCTTGTGTGCTACTTGCAGGACTTCCGAAGTATGGACGGATGGTCCTTCAAATACAAAAGACAACAATAGAAGAAATTTCTGTGGAAAAAAATTTGTACAAAAATAACCGCAAACCTTTCTCATGGCTCTGGCTTGTCAGAATTGCAGCATTCAACTCGCTAGCTGTCTTTTGTCTCTGTGATACATCCAGCAACTCTCCAACAGGACAACTAGCCGTATCTTCAAATGCCAACAAAGCCACAGTGCGTTCCAACTCCTCCAGAAAGGCATGCTGAGATTATATTCCAGCAAAGTTATAACGAATCAGTGTGAATACGAGTGAAACCGGTTGTGAAATGTCGGAACTTCAACGATTAGATAGGCCTTGTTGGAACTTACATTCTCTTCACCGCGCGGTGCTAGCTCTTCTTGAGCAAACTGAAGTGCCTCTTCTACACTACCACTGCGGATGAGTTCAATCAAACGTTGCTGCTGCAAGTGGAAAAACAACTGTGGATTCGTGTCCAAAATCTGCACAGTTATTGAAAGGGATAAGAGAAAAATTAAGTCAGGAAAATTAATATGAAATATCCGTAAAACATGACACTACAGTAGCTGGAAGGATTGTTATAAAAATGGACCACAGAAAAACAACATTACAGTAACGGGAAAAATTTATTTGTTTTTTAACGTGATGATACTGCATTACGAGTTTGGAGTTATGTTTACTGCCTGTCGATGAAGGCATTTTATTCAAATCACGATAGAGGACTATGTTGTGAGTTCTTTTGATGTAACACATTCTTTTAATCACGTACATTCACCTTTTCAAGAACTTTATGTATGCCTCCCGTTGTGAGAATCTTCAACACCATTTTCATGACGAGTATACCAAAACATTTTGTTCTATCTCTTATTATGCGTTATGATAAGATAGAAAAAACGTTATGGTAATATAGAAAAAACTTCAGGACCAAAATTTTACCTCTGGATTGAGATCATTCACTTTCTCAATGGCATCTTCCACGTTGCCGCACTGCACAGCCTTCCTAACTGCCATCCTGTCTGTTATTGTGCCGAGGTCTATGTCTGCTGTTTCTAGCTAAGGTGATTGAGATAGTCCCGAAGGATTATCATCTTCAAATAAATTGAATTCTCATTTACATACCACGACATGAAGAAACAAATAACTTCAACTTCCACCCACCGACAAATCAGAAGATTGACTTTGGACCTACAGCTATAGATAGTAATAAGAAGGACTATTTCTTGATGCTGGACAGTTCAAAATTTCTCTGAGTGGATGATTGAACATTTTGTTTCAAGAGCATTCAATCATCAGCATTACACACATTACTGAACTAAGCAAACGGTTCTCATACATTTGAATTCTTTGCTATCCAAGCACTACCTCCATTCGTACTGGCGCCAATCCCAACAGCGATGGATCACATGACAACCCAACATTGGATGTCTCGTGAAGCAAGCCTTCCGAGTACATGAAGGCAGAATTTCCTCTAAATCTTGAGTCCGTGATTCTTCCAGCTAGAGAGATTAGGGCATGACGATCTAAATTGAGCAGAAAAATCAATAAATGAAACCCCATTAGGGATTAATTCGGATACGTTGAGTTCCAGACTCCATCTGGAACTTTTCCGCTGCTTCCACATATCCTTCAGTGACCAGGAAGTTCATGACCAATTTGTTCATGTCTTCTTTCCTGATCTTCACATCGGCGAGCTTCTTTTCCCATTCTTCCTTCGTTATCACCTTCTTCGACGATGACTGCCACATCCTCACAAATCACACAGAAAAAAAAGATCGCATTACTTTCTGTCCCTCCTACACCCAGCCACGACAACCGACACGATTCCCAAACAGTCCCCGCGGTCGCAAAATTCTGTCTCCATACTAGACTAAAATTGAACACGTCAGGTGATCGTTCTACTCAACCCTCAACAAAATTCATCCACCCATTCCACAATTCCCACGAAACAAACCCTCGTATTACCATCTGACAACATAAGGTGCAATCCCCAGCACCAGAAATTTTTTTCCTCAATCCCACTCTTGCTCCTGTTCCTCGTCGTCGGACTGAACTCTCTTCTCTCTCCCCGAATTCCGAACGCTAAACCAAACAAGCAACCAGCCAGTCACCGCGTTTCGACACAACAAAAAAAACTATTCTCAGTCTAGCGATTTTTCGCTCTGCCTCCTGTCCACTTCCTCTTCCTCTTCCTCTTCCACAGTCTACGGGCGACACCTTCAATCTTTCCCTCCTCCTTTCCTTCCCTTCCCTTCCCTTCCCTTCCCTTTTCTCGGTGCCGCGAAAAAGCTCACAAAATGCTCGAGCTACTCCTACTGCACTTTCTGATCACAATCTGAATGCCAAGAACGAGAGTGCTGCACGAACTGGCATGGACGCAAGACTGAGGTGCTTGGAGGTGCCCAGAGATGGGGAGCAGCAAGTGTACCAACAATTTGCGCACCAACAATTTCCGCAGTGGCCTATACATTCGTAAACAAACAACCTTTGTGGGGCTCCCAGGCCGCAGAAAGGGTGGACTCCAAGTTTGTGCTTTCCTCCCTGCTCGAGTTAACTGCACCATTTACAAACCAATTCCTCCCATATCCCCATTTTTTGTTCCCTCCATTACTTTTTGCCTTTTTTATTCTTCTTCTTCTTCTCTCGTTTCCTAAGGCCCATGATTCCTCCCATCGCCTCCCTCCTTCCCTCGCATCGCATGTCTTGTGATCTTGCTTGACATGAGCACATGACATATGTCAAAGCCACTCATTTCCACTCGCCCCTGAGTAGGCCTCACTATGTTACCATTGGTGGGGGGCTTCATTTCCCTACCTAGGTTTGGGATGTAATTGAGCTGCTTTGTTTGTTGCTCAACCTTCTAATCGATTCGAAGCCCGAAGTGATACTTGGAGCCTCGAGAATGAGCCCAAGTCGAATGATATTCTTCCAAGTCAAACGTGGAATATGAAACATCTTATATCGTGAAGTCTTCATCCACAACTGAAAGAATTCTCCACTTCTTTTTTTTTGCAACATATTGACATCAGGGAAAAATAGTAACGTGTGTGCTGCACTTTCATTATGACGTCAAATAAGAGTTCAAAATTATGTACTTTTATCTTGTTATTCCTTATTGAGATGCAGAAGAATTTGCTCCAGTATAATAGCAAAACTCATCAATATTCTTGTAATGTTTGATTTCTTTGAAAACGAAAATAAATAACTGCGTGGGTGAGTTACTTTGTGACTCTTGGCCAGTCATACCGTACAGTATAACGTTCCGTCCTCTGTTCTATATTGTTATATCGGGAACGAAATAAAGGTTCTTTTAGGATTAATTATTAATCCTAGCCTTTCGAAATAGAATCAATTTATTCTAGTCCGCTCTGATAAAACATCACTCAAATTCAGTAGTATATTTTTGACATGTATCCCAGCCAGGAAATAATAACATCATCACATGTCTATCCAAATACTGCGAAGAAGATCGACATAAATGGACAATGTCTTAGTCTATTTTATAATTGAGGTAAAACAACATTACATTATTCTACAACAAATATTGAAATGAATCCATGTATATTCTTCAGAAAAAATAGCGATCTATCCAATTTTATATAAAAAAACGGTTTTAATTATTTTTATAATCGAATCAGAAGATATGTATTCAATTTAACCACTAAGTTGATTATTGCACTATTTCATAATCTGAGTCATCCAATTGTATATACAGATTTTCCAACTGAATGTAGCTTTTGACGAGCACGACTAAACATATATGTAAGTAAAAATATGATTAATGAAAAATTACGCTAGAAAATGCACGGAAGACCATAGAGATTGCTTATATCATACACATGAGAGAATTGCTACATATTACGTAAAGTATATATCTAGACAAACAAACTGATTATATTTATAACATAAATAGAAATATATAAGATTTTACTTACCCTGCCATTGCTCCTCATGAAAGAAGTACCAATGTTCATTGACGTAATAAACACGTCATTTCAAGTAACATATTTAATTTAATCGGTTTTCAAATTTGTTAAAAAATATTAGTTTGATATTATTGCCATTATATAGACATCATTAAGATCAATGCATGTCATTAGTTGTAGGAGCCTCAAACTTCTGTTGTTTAGCTATGGAAGCACGTCCTCCACAAGGATATAGAGTCACGACCGAATCATTCAAAGATATCAAAGTTTAAGATTCTTAGAATATAACATAATCTCTCGAATTAAACTTAATTCTAGAGGAACAAAATTCTTTACCAACTAATTACACAAAAAACATTTTCATAAAAAAATGTATATGTCTAGGAAAAAAAATAAGCCAATGGAATGTTAATTCACAAAGTTTACAATTAAAATTCAACTCGTTCATTGCAAAAAGTGCTTATATATTAATTTGAACATTTTTGGAATTAACTTCACATAATATCTAATAAAGTAAAAATTTAAGACCTATAATATCCTTTTGAAAAAATAAAAATACTTCAGTTCGAAAAAAATCCATTAAATTAGTAATCATGTTTATTAAACTTAGCACACAATATATGGAAGAGTCCAATTTTAGTTTTCAAATAATTTAAGCTTTTAGGCAATGTTCAAATATCTGTAATAATCTACTTATTTAAAAACACGTTGAATATATATTCTATTATATTTTTAATGAATAATCACAAAAAAATTGAATACAATGCTGTACAGTATTCAATATTAAGTAATTATAAAAATTCACTAAAGGTGGTAAACATGCTTTTTTGCTTCATTGCCTATATATGCTTTCATAAAAACTGGATTTGTTCAAAGTATTTCAGCAAATACAATTCATGCAATTTCCTAAAATAAGATCACATCCAGTTATATTTTAAACAACATGTTTTTTATCATTCAAACATTTAGAATGGTTATGTTTTTCATCCGAAAACCCTATATTACAAAACCAAATATTTCACTCAAAAGATGTTTTGCTTTAGTTGATTTTTTTAGAATTCAGCTTCAATGATATATGTATAACTTTATTTTGTTGGATATATTTATTTTTAAAATTATATAATTATCATATTAAATTTAATAAATTAAAATGAAATAAATATATAGATAAAATATAATCTAAGATATATAAGAATTATAGAAGTATAAAAATTAAATACTGTGAAAAGAAAAAGAAGTAAATTAAAACGCAGTTGGTCATTTGAATTTCATATTTTAAATACCAAATTTCTGTCTCGAAGATTAAATAACTTTTTGTTGTAAAAATATGAATATTATATATATATATATATATATATGAAATGTTATGCATCATTTCAAATTTACTCCAATTATGACTTACATCTTTAATGACATAAGATATCCGAAGAAACAGAAAAACTATCATTAAATCAAAATTTCCCCTGAAAATAACAATGAGCATTCACATTTGGTGAAATATATGTGTATGTATAGCTGATATAAAAATATAATGTAAATTTTATTGAAAAAATCATACGCATGAATGAAATTTTAAATTTTAAAAAGGTTAGTAACAACATTTCTTTTATAAGCCATTATCCTTTTTCTCCATTATTTCATAGAAATTTAACATGGATGATTTGGTTTACTAATAACATTTTATATTGGAAAGAAACTATCTTAATCATGTGTTGTTATTGGTAACATGATATGTTTTTTCAAGAAATTAAAATTATATTAATTGTTTTATAATCGAAACAAAGACAACACTTTAGCATTGATCAGATTAACTTTTATTAAAAAGTTTATCTTTATTGAAAATTTTGTATGAGATCAAATTTTCGTAAAAAGTTTATAACATACTTCAACATATATCTTATACGAATTTTTTTGTTGGAAGAATAAATTTATTTTGAGAAACGTAGATGACTTTCAATATATGAATATTATTTGGTATATCAATCTATTTATTATTTCATTATATATATAATTAAGGTATATATTAAATTTACAGGTAAGAGTTGTATTGAAATTTATTTTATGAATATCACTTTTATCTCAAACAGATTATAGTAATATCGAAAGGAAACTGATTATTGATGCAAGGACTATCCATCATAGTGTGCTTTATATTTATTATATCACAAAAAATTAATAATTTTGCAAATGTTAACAAACTATGAGGTCGAAGACTTCTATTTTGAGTTATAACATAGTTTTTGAACATTGTAAATAAGCATATAGCGATACTTTCCACAAAAAAATGATAAACCTCTATATTTTGTTGAGAAATAAATCTAATATTTGTTATTAATAAAATCTTTTTCAGTAAATTAGGTAATAATATTTGTATTTGGCATAAATTTTTATAAATCAAATGAAATTTATTAACATACAAAATTATTGCTATATATACATGTATATGTATATAATATAATATGTATATATGGTTGATTGTATGAAATCTATTTTGTGAATTTAATTTACATAGTAAATGTGGACATAAAATTCAAACAATATTATAATGTCTCTCAATATTTATCAGAAACTTATCGTAAAAAGCTCTGAATACTTTTTTTCATATATACGTGATATCTTATTGTTTTTTGATAAAACTATTATTTTGAATCAGTTATCTGTCCAATATTTTTCTGTAATTGTCATAAGCTTCTATATAAATCGAGAGAGATATATATATATATATAGGTTTATTTAAAAGCTGATGTAATAAGTTCAGTTGGTAGCATAAATACTAGTTGGTGCTTCATGCAAATACAACGATAAGATTGATTATTTTCATTTGGTTTTCAAATTTGTTAACAATATACATTTGTTGGTATTATATTTATTTTTCAAAATTTCACGATGTATAATATGATTAATTTTTAATATAGCTACTTAATAAACCATGTGGTTTTTGAAATATAATCGAAGCGTAAACACGTTTTGTTTTTGTAAGTTTTTTCTTGTATTGAAATTTGCATATCATTTGAAAAATGTTCATTTTTAACACACCGTTCAAAAGTAAATGCTATACAACTATTTATTTCATTTCATGTAAAGAATGACATAGGAAAACACATAAATCGGAATTGAGCTTTATACACAACCTCAAAACATGAAATTAAACTTGTTTTACATATGTATAATATTTCAATTTTATAATTGAAAAAAAAGAAATTATATAACTATACATAAAACTTTATGTATAGTTATGATATTGAATAAAATGAGCTAGAAATAATATCTGAACATAAATTAAGATGTAAAACAAATGAATCCATAGATGTTTAACTTGATGTAAAGTATATAACTAATACATGACGCTTTATCATACACATTACTTCTCATGAAATATGAAGCATATCCATTGTATTTGATTCTTTCCTAACAACATATTTATTCATGTTCTTTGAACTCTGAACACAGATTTTTTCTTATATTGATCGCTTTACATGATATTTATGATCGACGAGTTTTTATACACTACAAGTTAAGCAACATATACACAAGGGTATGCATCTGGACATTAATGAACTTGCCATAATTACGTACAGTTTTCTTTCTAGATATTAGATTGTTGTGTTTTTGTTAGGCGTAGGTTGTAGACAGTGGACATGTTAGTCATGT